GATAATCACCAAGGATTAGAGACAGTTCAAACAAGTTCCCAGAAAATGGCTCTTTCCAAAATATACAAGCATTCATTCCTTCCCTAATAAACTCCCCTGTTTCTCCTCTTCATATAATCCCCTTTTTTCCTACAAGTTGGTAAACTCATTGCAGGCAGGGAGCATATCCTGGGAATTTTCGTTTCCTTAGCACCTACCAGAATGTCATGATCAAGATGGTTGTTGAATTTCAGATGACCCTGCATTTTTTTCATGGTAGGAAAGGAATTATGGAAACTTTACTAGTCTTTTTGTGGCCTTGCTTTTCACTGAAAACCATCAGAAACCTGTTTCTTCCATTAAAGATACTGTGTCACAATCGTTTGTTAATAAGGGACCACTCCCTCTGTTTGCCCTGGATTAGAGGGAATTCCAAGGCCTGAAAGCTTGATACTGACAGTCATAAAATGGATGTACAAATTATATCATTTTGTGGCCAGGACCTAAAGAAGAGCAGGAAGCGCATCTACTAAATGAAATTAAATGGATACTGCCTTTCCTTTCTGCGTTGTCATTCGTCAGAGGCGTTTGAATTCAGAATTTAGGTCTTACATAATGCAGGCCAGTAATAGCCCGGAGAAGTAGTTATGTAAAGATGGGTATCTAACAGCCCCCACACTCCGTTGTTTTCTCCTAGAAGGTGTAACCTGCCTTTCTAACCACTACAATGTTTTCCATAAAATAGTTTTAATTTGGGTCCCATGTTAAGCATCTGCTGTGTTCCAGGCCCTTGGTTGAGTGTCGGTGACCAGCCTTGGACAAAGGGAGTCATGGTCCTTGACCCCCATGGAGTGTGAGAACCCTAACTGGGCAAATGTCTGTGGGAAAATGTTGAGGTTTTGGGGGGTTTTTTTAGTCAATTATGAAGTTATCAATTATTGAATGTCTCAAAGCAATGACAAGTCGTTAAATTCCCTTGAATGGATTGGAGTAAGATGAGTTTGACTACACCCATTTTCAAGCACAATCTTAAATAAGTCTTCACTCCTAGACAGTTAAATAAGTCCTGTGTGTACCATGGAGCTCTCTCTCTCTGACATCAGGAGAGGGCTACTGCCAGCCACTTGTTATACATACATTGCCTTGGAAATGTACCTTGTGCCTGTCACCATAGCAGCACACTGAGAATGACCTCAGCAGCCACTCAGAATCATTCCTACAAAACAAATTATAACTATAATTAACTCTCTGAATTTACTCTGCAATATAAATTGTTCAGACCTCAGTGTTTTTTAGTTAAAGGTTAAATGAATGGAGTAATCCAACATGAACCCATCCGCCCTCCATATTCCACCAGCGTTTTTCCCCCAAATATGAGGTGCTTCAGTGGAAAGTACAATTCAGTTAAGAGATTATTCCATCATTACCTCTTCTCAGAATATGACAAGAATCAACAAATAAGGATATGCTAGTCTCATCATGCTAGAACTCCATTTCTAAGGCAGTAGAGTGGCTTTTTTCCCTAAGCAAATGTGAAATGCAGAAAGTGCTGTGAGTCCCTCCAAGTCCTGAAGCCCAGAGTGAGGGGGCCACGTGGGGTTCGTGCTTGTGCAGGCAGAAGCTCTCCACACTGGCCTCTCTTTGGCAGTGAAAGATGCTAGTCTAGGTGGCCTGCACGTTTTACTTGTTTCTCAAATTATCTGCAACAGGTCTTCAGTTTTGGGTAGCTTTTGAGCCGCCCAGACCTTCCTGTAGGGGAAAATAGATTGTGTGTCTTCTGTTTGATTGGGGGGGTTTGTTGTTGTTCTGTTTTGTTTTTCTAGTCTTGTTTTGGGGTGTTCTAGGTTTGGTTTGGTTTGGTTCAGGTTCTAGATAATGTATGTTTCAACTAGCAGACCTTGATAACAAGTTCTTTTCCTTTTTTTTTCTTTTGTTAAACTAGATCAGTTTAACTTTTTTACTCCAAGTGAAGTGGGCCTTTCTCTCCACCATCCACCTAAAACAAAACAACAAGAATGTCAAGCAAGAAGTGCAGTTCACTTTCCAGTAAACTGTAAATGTATGAGGATCTTTAATGGTCATTTCCTTGCCTTGAAATATGTTGAAACCTGGGCAATGAACAGACAGAACAGAGCCTAGCAAGCAGCAAGTGCCCAGTATAGGTTAATTGTTACGTTGCCGTTGTTACTCTCTGAACTATGCTTACATTGAAAAGGAGCAAAAGAAAGATGCAGGGGGAAAATATTATTGCACGTATGAATGCTTCAGATATTCAGCTGATGTCTCAGTAGCACCCGGCGTTCACAGAGAGAAAGCACTGACAGTATTTTTAGGACAGCCTCTAAACGCGTATCAGTGGCTTTCAGTCGCAGGTGTACATCCTGATTCTGTGTTACTCCATCGTGTTTTTCCCAGAGCTCGGTTCACCCTTCTGAACTGGAGAGAGACTAGCAAGGTTCTCACGTGCAGTGTGACAGGGACTCTCCCACTTCATGTGCTGGGTTCTTTAAATTTTCCTGTGCAAGGACACATGTTTAAAAATGAAGTGGCAACGAGTAGTCTGTTGAGTTCATCTTCAAGAAACAGATCAGGAAACAGAAAGCCACGATTTCTCTTCCCACAAGAACACAGTAGCACCTTGTGTCCAAGACTTAGCCACCTTCTGTTCTGACCTCTGGAATGGGTGAAGTGAGTAGAAATGGTTTACTAGGCAGCCTATTTAAAAACAAGCTTGCCAATGTGAATTGGAAGTTCTCTGATTCCTCTGAATTAAATTTTTGTATATAGTAGTTAAATAAATGATGATCTTGCAGATTTCAAAATGTACATTCATTTCGATTTTTTCAAATCAAGGAGCTCATAAATCAAAAAACTCCATCTATACAGAGTGCCCAGTTGAGTTTGCATTTATGGAGTCATGAGCTGGTTTATCTGTAGGATGAGATACAGGCCAACACCCAGAACATGGGCTTGTTAACCCCATCAGGCACCTCCCAGACAGTGCCAGGTTATTCACTAAAATTTGGAGTCCAGTCCTTTTTTACATTTCCTTCCTGCCTCTCAAGCCCATATTCTCCCAGCCTCTCCCTCTTTTTGTCCCCCAGCCACTCTTACAATAATTAAAGATACCAGGCTGGTTTCTATCAGCCAGTAGAGAGCTAATTGCCAGCTAAAGAATCATTGATGTGTTTGGGACAAGGCCACTAGAATACTAATTATAGTTACTTTGTATTAGGAATTTCCAGACTAACATTGTATTTTTTTGTCTTAAAGAATTGATACAGCTCCAAAAAGGCAGTAATTTATTTCTTTGTTCAAGTCAGACGTAGCTCTACTATTTTGTGATCCCATGAATCTTAGAGACTTAAATTTTTTTCAATACTCAGTTTCAAATTTAACAGTATCATTGATATGGAAACCCCACTAGTAAGAAGGATATTTAAATAATGCTAAAACTAAATCTCAGCATGGGAAATCATTCATCCATTCAGCAAATAATCGTTAAGTACTATTTGCCAGGCACTCTTTTAGGTACTAAGGCAGGAATAGCAGGGCGAGACAGTCTTTATCCTGGGTAAGTCATGTCACCTGAGTGTTTGTGCTCTTGCTGAGTTACGCTCCACACCAGACATTCCCTGTTACATGTCTCAGAACTCACTGTCTCTTGTTTGTGGGCATATAGGGGTTGAAGATCTAATCTCTTCCAAGTCTATAATGGTTCTACCTTTTCTTTAAATCTTATTCACACTTTAGTTACTTTCTGTATATACTTTGCAGTTGTGTGTTTTGAAATCATATCTGTGCTGCATCCCTTCCAGGGATGGAGGGAACATAGTGACTCTTTGAAATCATGAGGATGCCATGCAGAACAGTCACTTTTACCTGTTTGTCATCAGCTATATCAAATTATGTCATTCTTAAAGTTGTAAATTATTTTTGCAATTTGAGAGGATGGAAAGTGAATGGAATATAACACTTTTGAAATGATAAAATTATACTGATGGAGAACATATGTGTGGTTGCCAGGGGTTAGGATTGGGATGGGTAGCACACAGAAGTTTCTTTTTGCTACCAGAACAATTCTGTATCCTGATTGCAGTGGTGATTGCACGAATCTCTACATGTAATAAAATTTCATAGACGTATACACCCCCAAAAATGTGTGTGTGTGTGTGTAAAAATTGGTGAAATCCAAGTAAGGTCTGTAGTTTAGTTAATAGTATTGATCAGTGTCAAATTCCTGGTTTTGATAATATTCTATGATCACATAAGATGTTATTATTGGGGGAAATTAGGTGAAGGGCACAGGGGAATTCTCTGTAATATTTTTGCAGCTTCTTGTGAGTCTATAATTATTTCACAATAAAAAGCTTTTTTTTAATGGAAAAGTGTCATATAAGCAGATAAATGTAAAGTTTAGGTGTGATGAGTCTATACACTGGGACTATCTGGCCTTCGATATTGTTGCCTCAGTAACTAGAAATCTCGTGGCTTCACATTAATTGTGAATGACTTAGGCTTTGGACAGAGTTTAGGACATGGTATGCTGCTGTCTTATAAGGGAAAAGGCTCTGATGTTCTGTAAAAAGGCAAAACAATTCATCCTGACCTTATGTGTAGCTCTGTTATCTGTTTGTTTATACAAATAACATTTGTATAAATAATTCAAAAACTATTTGCTTGAAACTCTTGCTTACCCACCAGACCTGCTAAACAAGTAGAGGGTAGGAGACTCATTTAATTATTTTCTTCTCCCCCTTTACGTTCTGTCAGGGTTCTACTTGACAGTAAGAGAAGAAAAGAGAAATACTGTGAACCAGGTCATCCGTAGATGGACAGCCTTGCTCTGACTAACAGAAGGTTGACTGTATCTTTCGCTTCCCAAGCTCCTCTACCACTTTCTGATACTTTTCTTCCTTCTCTCCACTTCTGTCTTAGGATTCATTGTTGTCCTTCCTTTTCCATCAGCAGGTCTGGTGTGATGGTGTCACTGACGTTCTCATGTGTCTTCCTTCCTACAGCTATCTTAATGACTTGGACCGCGTTGCCGACCCTGCCTACCTGCCTACGCAACAAGATGTGCTCAGAGTTCGAGTCCCCACCACAGGGATCATCGAGTACCCCTTTGACTTACAAAGTGTCATTTTCAGGTAGTACCTGAGTCCGTAAAATCCACTTGCCAGCTCTTCTGCCTTGAGCACATTTTGTGAACTCTGTGAATATTGAAACCATGTGTAGACTTTAAAACAGTATCACCTTTATAACAATTATTATCATTGGAGACACAAATGAAATAATGTGTCCCTGAAAGAGGAAGCAGAGGAAAGGTGTATGGACAGGTTTCTTATTTCAGAAAATAAGATAAATAAGATAAATCACTGAGAAATCAGTGAGTAGTTTGCTGATGGTTAAAAGTTACTCAAACATTGGTCCAGACTAAAACTGGTTGGGAATCATTTTACCTATGAGGTCAATGTTTGTACATTGTACAAACTGTATTTTTACATGTAAAACACGTACATGTAAAAACTGTATTTTTACATTTGTATAAAGATATAAATTATAACCCTATTAATAGCAGAAATTACAGGTTGTCAGAAGCTTTCATGTTGATTCCTCCAGGTCGTCTGGTACCAAGGTAGAATTTTTCAGTAGCAATAAGAATGCGGGCTGTTTTGTACTCCTAAAATGAGTTGCCTGAAAAATTTTAAAATACATGGTTTTGGAAATGGATTGATTAACCTAGTCTAAATTTACATAGGAAAATAGAATGAAAGTTTATTACTTTCATAAATGAAAGTTTATTACTTTCTCCCTTACCATTCTCTGCCATTCTTTCTGGGTAATACTTCAGCTGAAGTGGTCTAATTTTTTTTAAGATGAGAAAAAATAAACAAGACTGATGTACTTTCATTTAATCTCTTATTACACAGTCACTCAGACGTACTTTTAGTTAGAATACAAACCACATGGTGCATGGAGAAATGAGGCCATATGAATATGTCTTTGGGTGCAGAGAGTTGAGTTCCTTGGGAGAGCCATCCATTTAAGACAACTACGTACAGTACAGGGTTGTGAAGTGGAAATGAATGTAACTCCTGTGATGTAACTCTGCCATGTGACCCTGATGGGCAGGCCCGCCATCATTCCCTGCAGAGCACTGTGTGTTTCATTCTGATCAATCTCCGCACCTGTGGTTACATCTGGCTGCCTTACGCTACTCTAATGGACGTAGCCATAAAGAGGGTGACACTTTGGAAATAATTCCTGAGCCTCGTTTTTTTCATCATTAAAATGGTTACATTAGATGATCACCAAGGCTCCCAATGCTGGTAGCTCCAGCATTCTGGATTAAGTTTTGAGTTCATTGCGTTTAGAGATCTTTAACTTGAGACACCAAATTTCCTTCTGCTTATAACCATGTTAGAATATTTTCAGAAAACATAGAGCATTCCATGGAGATTTTCATCTCCTTTTTGCTTTCTGATTACTGAAATCTGAAACCAGGTTACTGTTACATCTTGGGATTTTCCCTACATTTTGGGCACTAGCTTTTAAAGGACATTCTTTGGCACTTCAGTAAAAGTAATGACTTAGGAGAATAATTTCTTGCTACCATCAAAAACATCTTATAGGGTTTAGCATGACAGGATTTCATGGAATGAGGATTTTATATAAATGAGCATATTATTGACTTGACATCAGAGAAGAGCTAGCATTTTAATATTTCTAAAGACCTAAGACTTCTAGTTTTGAAAATGTCTGTAGTTCATAGGTCTCCCTGGATCCATTGTTTTGCCCCTCAGATATGTTTCATAGGAAACTTTTCAAAGCAGTCACTGGAAGATTCTTGATTTCTTAGTTTAGGTTTGATCCTTAGAGGCAGGAAAATACCAGGAACAACTGCAGTTTTCAACAAACACTTAAAGAGCCCTACTCTCAAACTTTTATACCTAAAACTCTCATTTTCTGAAAATATTTTATCTTGTAAACATTGTGCACATTTTAGTCAAGTTATGGATTCAGCAATTTGAGGAAACTTGGATTCATTACCAAGTTCTGCTAGATATTTTCTGTATACACTAGCACTCAAATTAATTGATGCCAGTGTTGATTCCTGAGCACAGAATTGATGTGTAAAAACAAGTCCTCGGTATAGTTCAAATGGTGGCCTCTTATAGCATCTTGATGTTTTTATACTTCTAGCAGTTTAGCAAGTTGACTTGTGCATAAGGCTGATTGCACCGTGTTACCCAACGTGATTGGACTGTCCCAAATCATAGTCAATACTGAAAAGAAAAAACAGCCCCAAAAGCTTACCTTCCTGATGAAGATCAGTGAGGTTTTGTTTGCAGTTAGTTGAAGCATTACACAGCCATGTTGAAATACATAGCATCTTACATCTTTTAAATGCATTTGTAGTCATTCCTAGTAGCTTCCTTGAGAAATACATGAGGATCTTCATTCTCATTTTATAGGAAAAGAAACTGAAGTCAGTATTTGCCATTAGAGCTGAACACAAATAAAACGCGTTTTGTTTCTGACTCTTCTGTGCTTGATTAAATAAAACAGACTTTTTCCTTGGCTTGGCACAGGTTTTCTTTTTTTTTTTTTTACAAAATTATAATTTTTATGTATATCAGGTAACTTTCTAATTACTGCAATGAGTTATTACCCAGAATGTCTTGACTTTGATTGTTAGGTAACAGAAAATTAGTAGATGTTCAGTAAGTGTTAATTGGATTGGTTTTGATGACCATTCTCTTTAGAGAGTAGGGTTCCTAAGTTTGTAAGTAAAGCTATATTTATATTGATATTTTTCTATGTGCTATTAATATGAATATTATTAACCTTGCAGAATGGTCGATGTAGGGGGCCAAAGGTCAGAGAGAAGAAAATGGATACACTGCTTTGAAAATGTCACCTCTATCATGTTTCTAGTAGCGCTTAGTGAATACGATCAAGTTCTCGTCGAGTCAGACAATGAGGTGAGTGCTCTGTGGACGGATAAATGATAGGGTATGGGGTAAACTGACTTCATTGCTTTCTTAACTACTGATTTGGAAATTTTTTTAAATAACCCTGTGGTACCACGTGGTATACCCAGAACAGGAAGATGTTTGAGCAGGTCTGTGTGTTCAGGTCTAATTGGACCCTATGTGATACTTTTAACACTACGCGGAGGCTCTGAAAGTGAAAATAACAAGGAAATCCCTAGGCTAATCGTCGCATTATTTTATAGCCTTCTTCCTACAGGATGGAGTTGGGAGTGTTGGAGTGAGTCAGCCTGTTTTGTTCTGTTTTCATTTTGTTTAAATTGTTGTTCGTATGAGGGCTGGGTCCCAAAGAGTACTCAAAACCTCTCTTGGCAAATGTGAATGACTTTGCAGCTGGGCTCTAAATCAGTTTGTTCTGGAGCCAAGAAGTGTCCTAGTGATGTGGCCTTTCTGCTCTTACAGAATTCTATAGGCTACTGCATAACTTTGTCTCTACTAAGCACTGGGTGATTGACAAAGCATCCTTAATATGCCTGTCTGGAGAACTGATTCAGTGTTGTCATCTCTTCCCTATTGCATGAAATTCTAACAAGTATAAATATGGATTTTTAGGACGATAAAGGCTCCATGGTGAGTCAGAGTTGATTGTGGAGGATAATTAAGGGGCACAGAAAACCGTGACTTTGATCTGGAGTTCGGTGTGTATTGGGACAATGGAGAAGACACCATCGTTATACTGTTAGAGGCAGAGTTTGCAGACTGACATGCCAATAGTAGATATTAAATTTCCTCCTAATAGGGTAGAAAATAAAGAGAAGGAAGTGAGTATCCCCAATAGCTGATTAAAATAAGATCTGGCATATTAAAATGTACTTCTAATTTTGTACAGTTGTTTTGGTACATAAGAATTCTGGCTTCTTTGGTCCTTTTAAATATTTTATTTTTCTGCAGGTATTAATATCTCTTAAAATACATATCAAGCCCTACATAGCATTTTTTTTGTATGTAGGGTTGATGAAGAGTTATGAACCAATATCCCATATAGAGCTGAGTTACCTATTCATGCATTTCAAATGTTTCCTGGGTTACAAGTATATGGGCTTTTGAACCAATCAAAGAAGTTCTTTTTGTTGTTGTTCATGTATATCTTGCTATTTAAGGGACTTCTTTTTAACAATGAGGTTTATCAGCCATTTGCCCTCTGTAGCCGTAATGCAAAGTGCCTGAAAAGCATGCTAAGATATGTGAGAATCAGTTATCACACTTTGAGTTAAGCAGTTACCATCAGAATTTGAGCTATGACATCTCTATATGTATTTTTAGTTTTATATCTGTTAGTTGTTCCATAATCTTTGGGTATAGTATTTTAAACATACTACATATCTTGGAAGCATATGACAACATTTTTTATTTCTTTGAATGTTGAATCAAGACAAAAAATATTTTGAGCACTCATCTACTATGTGCTGGATACCAGGGTATCTAAAGAGATACAGAAATGGAAAAAAAAAATCAACATTGTCGTAAACGACCTCATAAAAGAGGGATGCTTTTGTCAAAATAGAGAGTCCGAGAGAAGGAAGGCCTTAGTTATAAAGGTCATCATTTCTTTTCTTTAGTTTGCTGTCCAGTGAAATAAAATTTAAGACATTTTCAACTGCACAGAAGATGTAAGACGCATGCATAATTTTATTTCTTACGTCACTGTTTACATATAGCTAGAGGAAAACAAGTGTTTATCAATACACATTTTATGTGAGATAAATGCATTCTATTTATAAAGAAATATATTTTGTGATTTAATGCTAATCAGTTTACCACTTTAAAATTTGCAACTCATCAGCTAATTCTAGCACATAAAGCCAGTTAAAGTTTCCACAGAATGAAAGTTTCGACAGTAACTCGCCATTCAATGTATAAGCAGTACACACATCTAAAAATACATCAGTTTCTTTGATTCCTGTGGCGATGCCTTATGCTACAAATTAAAACAACTCTGTTATTGTTCATTAGGACTCTCTAACCACTTGTGAATATTTTTAAAGCCTACCTTGTAATTTTATGGTGTTCTTTTCAGATATCAGGCAGATATCACTCAAGCCTGATGGTAGTATTGGAGATGATCTTAAACATAATAAGAAAAAAATACTGCTCATTAATTTCTTCATCCATGGTAGCCATAGTCATCACTGTTGGTAATTAGGAAACACTGTCAAAAGTATTTTTTAATGTCAGGATGTAGTCCATTATTCTTTTTCCTTTTCCTGTTATAGTAATATATGAAAATGTCATTGCCTCTCTACTTTCTTAAATCATTAAAAAAAACTCAGAAGTATAGAATTCTACTTTCCCCACATTTTCAGGATTTGGTGAGACACAGCTGGAATAGACTCCTAAAACATTTTGTTCTTGGTTTTGAAATCTGATGTTCATAACTTTAATCCAAAGCAGACTTTGTTGTACTTCCCTTGATATATATTCGTGAGAAAAACCTGGAAATGGATACTGACAATCTCCCTTTTATCTTGGGGAACTGTGGAAAATACATTGCAGACCACAAGCAAAAGCAGCTAAGGGAAGTATTTTATTTTAGATTATTGCTTTGGCTTTTATTATGTATTAATCCTGAAAATTTTTATGTAGATGTGCTTTTGTCTGTCTAGATTCTCAGCCTCCCAAGAGTTTGGGGAATGAATTTCTTTCTTTCTTTTTTTTCCTCCAAAGAAGGAAATATGTTATCAGATAGTGGGTGAGCATAATCAGGGTTGTAGAGCTGTGTTGATTTACATATTCCTTCAGTGCTGTCTTGGTTTCCCTTTGATAGCACACCAGAACGGAGCCAGTTACTCTGCTGTAATTCTTTCACGCGTACATTATTTCAGTACCCCTGAGAGCCGGAGCACACAATAAGGCATTCACATAACATATTTCAGCTCATCAGTGTGTATCCAGATTCTGTCTTTTTTAGTCCTTGTTTTTTGTGGTTCTCTGTTACATGAGTATCTGAGCACTAATACAAACTTGTTTCTCATATATTGACTCAGGGACTGTCTTACAGACCAAGCTTTTTATAGAATCCCAAAGACTTAGGCCCCTTTTCTCCGATGCTTCCTTTTTGAATGTATGCTTCTAACTTACCTTAATTCTTTTGAAATGGTCACAACCAATTAGGTGTTAGTTTTATTAAAATATCGAGATAGTTCCCTGTACCCCAGGTCCTCCTTTGAACCAGGATGGATTCCCATAAACATTTATCCTTCAAATCTGATTCTTGGAGTTGCTCAATTGATTTAAAAAAGAATAGTAAAAGGAGAGAGTAGACATTTATAATACCTTAGCGCTTTATGCCTATTCAAAACTTGCTTAAACCATTACTTATTTGAATCTCACCAGCTGACCTCCCGTGAAGTGAGAAGATCAGGTTTGCTGAGGATACAAGAATGGAGAGATTAAGGCCCATGGCCCAGGTCACTCAGGGCCCCCATTCCTCCCCTTCTAGACCAGCTTTCTTTCCCCTGCTTCACAGTGTCTTCCAGAAGATAGGGATAAACTGAGAGGAAAAGCAAGAGGAACTGTTAAAGGTGGCCAAGAACATAGAGGTAGAATGAAAATCCTGACCCTGCAGGAGTTCAACCCCTCTTCTCCACCTCTAACCTCTTGTTATACTCACATGAGACCAGCCAGAGATCCTTTACCAGCAATTAAACTAGATTAAAACAAATAATCTAAAATATGCATTTCCTTCAGATATTTCTCCTCTACTAAGTTTTAAAATGAAGCCATTTTGAAGTTATTCAGCTGCAACCAGAGTCTGAACATTTTCTTTAAAAGTGTGAAACATGTGCTTTGTTCTGCTCTAAAAACTTCAAGTGAAGTTTGGGGATTTTTTTCTCCAGATAAAATTCAGCTCTAGGGGGAGGAAACTGACTAAAAATTGAGGAGAAGAAATTTGAACTCCAAAAGAGCGAGCTTAGGTTAAGATATCCGGTCTCAATGGGATTGGTTCTAGCCCTCCTTTATCGACTCTTAATCAAATTATGAAATCAGAAGCTACATCTTGCCCCTCAGTCTTTAGTATACGACTCAGAGTCATGGCCTGATTAACAAGAATATTCCTGAAAGGCGCCCTACTTTTTTTATATTTAACCCCTTTCCCATTTCCTCATTCCTTTGTTCATTTTCAGCCACTGTTTCTTTTCTAAACTCCTTTCCACACCCTTTTCATTAGCTGGCATTTCTGTTTGCTCATTATTTTACTCCTCCTTAATTGCTTTGTTCTCAATGCTTGAAGGAAGCCAGAAGGAGGTATTCTGATCACCATTTATGAGTCTGAACCAGAGACCTGCACTTAGTGCTGGTAAGCGTGTGGGGAAGCAGACACACAGGGACACCTTTTGTGTGAATGTATATTGGAAATCTTTTAAAGACTATATGGAACCCATATTAGTGTAATCTATGCAATAGTTTTTTTCTTTGAAGATGAATTATATGAAAAAGATTGCAAAGTAGTATATTTGGTATAATCTGATTTCTGTAATCACAACAAATTACATATATACACTTATTACAGGGAAGGTTATTAGCACACCGACCCACCCCCCCAAAAAAAAGAAAAAAAAGAAAACGGAAGATTTTCTACCAGGACCAAAGTGTAAAGCGTGATGGTCATTGCTGCTAGGTGATGGCATTACAAATACGTGAAATGATAATTTTTTTAAGTAAAATGAAGTAAGACTTCAGGCTGGAACTTTAGCTCTGCTGTTTACCAACTTTGTCCATTTTTCTTTTGAATTTTCCATCTTTTTTTTTTTACTGATTTGTGGGAGTTCCTTACACTCTTGGATGTAAACCTTTTGTCATGTGTACTGCAAACATCTTCTTCCACTTTGTAGCTTGCCATTTATTCTCTTAATGGTGCCTTTTGATCTACAGAAGTTTTAAATTTTAATATAATAGAAATCTATCAGATTTTTCCTTTATATTATATGCCT